GAATGTAAAGCTCCCAGCACTCAGTAGGTCCTTGACAAAGCTGTCTTCTCCATTCTTTCCTTTTTTCTGGTTTGAGCTCAATGAGAATTCACATGGTTGCCTCTTTTCAGATCGGCAGGCTTGGAAGCAGAGGGTGGAAGCATATAGCTTCAGACTAACAGAGGCCAGGTGCAGGCTGCAGCCCAACAGCGGGGCAAGTGCCCTGCTCAGTCTCGCTGACCCTGGTGCCATGTTAGCACCACACAGCCTGGGACACACCAGATATCAACTATCGTCGGCCACACCAGCTACCAGGTTCTTACTGGTGCTCGCTTTTTCATCCCCCCCATAGCTATGGTGGCCCCTCTGCACTGGGTGCAGAGTGCAGCAGGGTGAGCAGAGACAGCCATGGCAAGCTTGCAGTGAGAAGGGATTTTTAACAGCACATACAAGCCTGTGATGGCAGATGACAGCACCGGAAGATGAGTTGTGGAGTATGGCGCAGGAATGGAGAAAGAGGGCTGGAAGCGGGGCGGCGGGGTGGTGGGGGGACTAGCATCTCTCACCCTGGCTGAGACCTGGGGGGTGGGGCAGGCTGATGGGGCCAAGCAGCTGGGCTCCTTCCCTGTCCCCACCTCCCCCACCAGGCTGGACCAGGAGAGGAGTGCTGTGACTCTCCACCTCCCATCCTGGCCAGCCTAGCCTGGCCTGGCAGGCAGGGGGGAGCGGGGAAAGGCACTGCCACCAGTGCAAGCACTTGCCATGCTGGTCATGCCTGCGCTCCCAGCTCCGGAGGTGAAAGGTACAGACGCTAACCACAGCCCATCAGGCCTCCCCAGCTGGAATAAGACAACATGGGGAAGCAGAGCCACACTCCCGGCCAAATAAAAGCCTGTTTGCCCGGCCTCCCTGGCTGCGAGCGCTTAAAACAGGGGGCTCTGCGGTGGATTTCTTCCGTGCCATTATATTCTCTCGGCTGTGCTCACAGGGACCGCGGCCTGCCGGGCCCTGAAAGCCTCGCGATGCTGCGACCCTGCTGGTTTGTAACATGCTCGGGAAGAAAGGGGCACAGCCAGTGGCAGACTTTCCTCTCTCTTCCCTCCTTGCTCTCTCTTTTCACATCCCACATGCAAGGCGCTGAAGAATAGCACTTCACCTACTATGGGGCTGTGAGCTGGAGATGCGAAATCTGATTCTTGGCTGGGAAAGGAGGGAGGGAGGGAGGGAGGAAGGAAAGAGAGAGAAGGGAGGGAAGGAAGAAAGGAGGGAGGCAGGGGGTAGGAGGAGAACAGGAGAAGGGTGAGACCGTCCTGGGGAGAATGTCTGCCTTGGTCTTCCCTTTCCAAAGCAGTGTCTGCTTGTCAAGGTCTTGGCCAACTCGGCAACTTTTCTAAACATTTCACTGCTGTTGAATTTGACAGGCATTCCTCAAGCACCGACTTGCAAAGGAGGCTAGAATACCCTTCCATCACACAGGGATGGTGTACATCATAACTGCCCTGGGGAGGGGGCAGCTGGGGGTTTAAAGCAAGCCTTTGGCGGCTAGGAAGCAGCCTGGGATGGCAGCGAGCTCTAGCCTGGCAGGTGACATAGGAGCTGCTTTGCCAGCAAGGAGCCCTGCCTCCTCATCGTCCTCAGGCTGCTATGTACTAATTGTGCTTCTACAGGCCAGGCTCTGTGCAAGCAGCTAAGAGATACAGGAGACAGGTGGCGTTTGGAGCCAGGCATTGCTTGTCCTCCCCTGCTCCTCTGTCTCTTCCTCTCCTCTCACGTGCACATTTGCTGTAAGCACCAGGGTCCTCCTAATTTTCCTCCCTCTGCCCAGGGTGCAACCTTCCTCAGTCCAACTTGACTGAGGAAAGGAACAGTGGGCAGTGGTCTTGGCCCTAGGAGGAAGAACCAGTGCCCAAAGAGGATGGTGACTATGCCAACTTATGCCCACTGCCTGCCAGAGCTGTGTGCCATCTCCTTTGAGTCCCACCATCTCCCCAGTGCCCACTGTACAGATGACAAGGCTAAGACCTAACCGAGATCATGGAACAGGAGAGGATATGAGCACACACAGACCAGCTGATGCAGACTCAGTAGGGTGGATCTGAATCCTGACTCTGCCATTAGTAGCTGGTGCTCCTAAGCAAGTTACTTGTCCTGTCTGCCTCACTTTCCTGATCGCTACAACAGTATTGACCTCCCAGAATTCTGTACAATTAAAACCTGTGGAAGCCCACAGATAGTATGTGGTTCAAGTAAGGCCTAACAGGTGAAGACTAGCAGAGTATAATCCAAGTCAGCAGCGGAGTTGTCAGAGAAGTGGAACTCCAGGGGTGGGCAAATGTTGGGTGAATCTTGCTGGCCGTACTGGTCCTAAGAAGGCTTCCCAGAGAACAGCTCACATGCCGTGGTGACAACAGCAAGCTTGCGGCCAGGCCCTCCTGGCGAACAGCTAAAAACACTGCCTTTCATTCCCCAGCCCACATCCCATGGGGAGCCTTTGTCCTGAGGGCTTGGTGGTTTCCACCTGAGATCAGAGTGCCTTTCTGGCAGAGGTCTGGCCCAGGCTGGAGTTGCGGACGGAACTGGGCACAGATCCCACCTGCCCTCAGGGTCTGCCAAGGTCCTGGATTTTCTGAACAATGTAGATTTTGACACAAATAAGCTGGGTCTTTTTCGCCACAGGGGACAGGGCACACAGGGGAAAAAAGGCCTGGGTAGGAGACCAGAGGCCCTATTCTGTGGTGGGCACCTCCAGACCAAAGTGTAGGGGCTGGGTGGAGGGCCTGATGCAGTTAGGGCACAGCTCTGCCTTGACCCCATGGCCTCTACCTCAGATGTGACCTGGGCTCGGATCCCATCAGCCCTTGGGGTGTTCAGGCCCTTGGCTGTGAGGACACATCCACTCTTGGCTGGCCTCAGTTCTCTCACTTGTAGGATGTGCCCATCATGACCGTGTAAGGGCTGTCAGAAAAGCAATGGGATAAAATGCATGGTGTCTGCTATTATTATTACTGCACCTGCTCCTCTGGGTCCTGGCCGTAGCGGAGTGGTTGTACAGACAGCGGACCCCACAGCAATCCTCCTGCCAAGTCCTCCCACTGGGGAGGCAGTCATGGTGTCTTTGAGTTCAATTTATTGAAGGGGCTTCTCCACTTAGGGTGGAAACGCTGAGACCGCACTCTTTGCTGGCCCGGGGTGTGCGGTGGGGGGTGACGGGGAGGTGCCCCTACCTCAGCTCCAGGGACAACCCCTTGCACAAACATTTGTCGACGGGTGCATTTGGGTCTGTCAATGGCTGTCGATACAGACAGGTTCTTCTCTGCACGTCAGGATTGGAGACTTATTGAGCAGTGCGCTTGGAACTGTTTCCAGCTTTACATTCTCTTGGGCACAGATATTCCCAGCCCTGGACTGAAGGACTAGCCCATGTCAGGGATAGTGCCAGGCACAGGGACACAGAGATGGGCTGATCAGTGACAAAAAGGAGCATGGCACAGTTTCCACATGGAGGGCATGGCACAACATGGCAAGGAAGTATGGGAGGAGGTGGAAGGGTAGACAGAGCCACTGACATCTGATACCAAGGCAAAGAGAGAGAAAGGGAACCTGGAAGGGTTCTGAGCCGACATTCACCAGGATAACCAAGTGCCCAAGGATAAGATAAGGCACGGTGTGGAGAGGAAAGCTTGTGTGAAGACCCTGCGGTGTTGGGGAAGACCCCAGGAGGGCAGGGATCTGTTGGGAAGGTCTGGCACCTTCTGAAGCGCACTTCTGAAGATGCCCTGATTTGTAACTCCAGGCAAGACCATCCTGGCCAGCCTTGAGGGATGCTGTCCTCAGAAGGTCCTCTAAGATTTATGCCTGGTTTGAGAGCCCCATTTCCCTGATCCAGAGAAGGAGAAAATCACTCCAGGTTCAGGCTGTCCAGAGAGATGAGTGGTGGTATTGGTGAGGGGTTTTATAGCCTCCCCCACCCCCGCCCCCATCCATCCAGTAAGGCACCTGAGGAGGACTGCTGAATCCTGACCCTAGGACGAGGAGACAGAGGAAGGCTCTGTGCCGCCCACCTAAGATCTCCACACTGAGAGTGATGCAAGCAGTCCCTACCCAGGCCCATCCTGGAGCTTGGTTTTCCCAGACAGTGGGGAGCGGGATGTACTTGCCACAGGGTGACCCATCACTAAGCCAGGGCCCCACAGTGGGTGGAAGCCTATCTGGACCATAGCAAAGGAAGATGCTTCTGAGGCGGGTCGGGGGAGGGGAGATGGGATTGAAGTTCAAGTGCCCCTTGCTACCTGAGTAAGGGACATGCGGTACAGGACAGCAGGGGACGCCCAGTGCCTTCACCTCCATCCTACCCACACTGACCGCCATTTCCACCTGCCCCCACCAGTCCTGGCCACGCTGATCTCCCCGTTTCTAAGACTCCACCCCTTGCTCCATTCCTGGTGCCAACTCTGCTTGGGCCAGCCCTGTTTGGACCGCCTGATGAAGCGAAGTGGCCCAGCCCCTGAAAACCCACTACAGTGCCCAAGCACAAGGACATGGCTTATGCTTAGGGTTTTCTAGTCACAAGGTCGTGACAGGATGCCACCAAGGTACTGAAGTAAGAGTGGGAGTTACGGCTGTGAGCACAGTGCCCTGGCAAGAAGTGGATGGACAGCCCTCAAGTGAGGGAGCCCAGGAAGGTCTAGTGGAGGAAATCAGTGACACTGTGGTACCCAGATGGTCACCAGGAGGGGCTGCCAGCATCCCAGACCTGAAGGAACAGATTTTGGAACCTGAATTGAGGATGACCACATGGCGGACAGAGCAGAGCCCTGAGCTCGAGCCTTTGCATTGGCAACCTGGCAGAAAAGCCTCCAGGGATAAACTCCCGGCCCTTGCTCCTCTGCCTGGGCTCCCAGTGACGTGGTGAGTGCAGAGGGCAGTAAGGTAGAGGCCTGGCATGGGGCAGTTGGGAGGACAGAGGGCCTAGGGGTGGTCTCAGGATCCTGGATCACCTGAGAGGTAGTCCTCAGACACACCTACCGTGAAAGTGCTCAGCTGTCTTCCGCCGCAAGGCCTGCACGGTCACCTCAGAGTCCGCCCACTCCAGCACCAGCCTCCGGCCGTACAGGTGAGTGCTGTGACACAGAGCGTTGAAAGCCCTCTGCAAGGGACAAGAAACACAGCAGTGTATGAGCAACTTGGACCTGTGGGCACCCACAATGCCCTCCCTCTGCCTGCTGGTCTCAGACCCACAGCCTGGGCTATGGCACTGGGGACATGGGACATCTAGTGAAAGTCTGGGCAGCTGCTGGGCACATCTATTTAACTAGTGGGTTACGTTTCCGGGGAGAGAGCTGCAAATGACTGGGCAGTCAACACATCGGTGTCAGGGCCGTAACTGGTGCCTGGACTGGGGGACAGTCTATTTGCCACATTACAGACTATCTGCAGAGGGTGACCTCATTAGCAGGCCTGCCATCCACCTGGCTGCCGGTGGCCATGGCCATGTGAGAAAGCCTGGCTCTGCCTGGACTCTGGATGACGAGGGTACAATCACTGTAACTTGTGCCATGCTTTGTTGTGCCACACGCTGGTGGCCCTGTCTCCCATGTATGCTTCAACCTGTCTCCAGTGCCTCCCGACTGGTCTCCCACTCCTCTGCTTCAGTTCCCACACCCAGCTCTCAGCCAGGGTATACTCTTCTTTCATTGTTCCCAATCTCCAAACTCCCTAAGTTCCTTCTTTGTGTTTTTAACTCTATATTGAGAAATGATTCACTTCCTATACAAGCCACCATCCAAGGGGACAATTCAGAGGTTATCAGTGTACTCAGAGTTGCACAACCATCACCGTACTAATTTTAGAACACTTTCTCACCCCAAAAGAAACATGCACTGCTGCTATTCCTCCCTAAGTCTCCCAACTGTCTCAGCCCGTGACAACCACCATCCACTTCCTGCCTCTATACATTAGGCTGTGCTGGACATTTCATATGAATGGAACCAGTCAGCAACTGCCTGTTCCCTCTAAAACATGACCAGCCATTAAACTAAATGTTACTACCCAGCAACGCCCTCCCCAGTATGAAGGCTCTTCTGGAACTCCCCCATGTCACAGAGTTCAGTGACCGAGTTTTTGGACTTTGGACCCAGTCACCAATGCCTGGACAGGGCACGCTCCGCACTTCTTAGATTCAAGATCTAGGGCAGTTTCAATCTTCCTGACTGTTTCCTCATCTCTAAATGGGAGTGCTAATGTGTGCCAATCTAAATGTTCTGTGGAAGACAGGGCCTAGAACGGTGTGGGGCATACAGCAGGCATTTAATAGGTGCTAGTCTTCTACCTTGTATTGTCTCAGACTGGACTCACTTGCAATTTCTTTCTCCCAGCAGAATTACCAAGTAGGTGCTGGGCTTAGTGCAGAAGCAGCTTTGAGTGCTCCCTGTCAGTCAGCAGGGCACCAGGGCTCCGGGTGGCAGACAACAGCCATGGGACCAGGGGAGGAGCTGTGGGTTTGCCTTTTTTGCTACTGAGAGTCACCGTACAACCAGAAAGGTCTGGCCTAGAACTAACTACTCTGCCCCTTGCCTTCCATTGTCACTAGGAATGTGACTACAAACAGCTGCAGAAATAACGAGCCTGGATGAGGTCACAAAGGAGCAGGGTGGCCCTAAGCCAAGAGGACAGGTGGCTTTAGGGGTTCCAAAGGTGAACAACCTTTGGAGAGGGAGGCAGGGCTGGGAGTGGTGAGTCTACAAGCCAAGAAATGCAAGGACTGCCTGCCACTGCCAGGAGAGGAGTGGGAAATCCCAGCCCCCACCCTACTTAGGACGTGTGGCCTCTAGAGCTGGCAGACAGTTGTTTAAGGTGCTGTGTGGGGTGCTGTGTTACAGCAGCACAGGAAGCAATGAGGTGACCTTAGGCATCACCTGCCCCAAGCTGAACCTTGGCACCTCCTGTGTGAAGGGGCTGGTGTAGGAGTTACACCCAAGCACAGAGAGAGGGCGCAGCATCTCTTCAAGAAAAACAGAACGTGTAGACGGGAGGGAGGGGGAGAAGCAGTGTTAAAAATTAGACATGTGGCCAAACCAAAGAAACACTTTGTTCTCCTCTTTGCTGTTTGAGAAGGGCCAGGTGCAGGAAACTTTTTCTTTCCCTTTTCTCTAACTTTAATTTAAAAACCACTCTCTGACTGCCAGCAGAGCCCCTGTGCTTTTTTCCATGCAGATATAAAAATGCATCTGGACCCCGAGCCGAAATGGCCCATTCAGAGCTCTAAAACATCCGCGCTCAGCTGGCAAGGCGGGAAGGCAGCATGATTTGGGAGCCGGGGCCTTGAGATGTGGAGACGGAGCTGGTGGGGAGTCTGGCGTGGAGGATATTCCAGCCAGGCGCCGGGTCCCCGAGGAGCTGCATCCTGGGGACATGGCAGCCAAGATGCTGCATCTGGTGGCTGCTTGGCCTGAACTTGGAAAAAGGGAATGAGACCACAGGAAGGAGGCCCAGGTGAGACAACACCCCTCCTGGCCTGCCTCTGTACTAACATTTGTTTCTTTCTTACCCCTGGAAGCTGCTTTTCCTTTCTTGTGCTTCAGAAGGCCTGGAGGGGGTCTTTGTTTATTGCAGGAGTTACCAAAAATTCCCCCCTCCCCGCCCAGCTGCCTCTGACATTGGCCCTGGGGCAGTTCCATCTCCTCTCAGTTCCATCACTTGCAAGCTGTGTGGTCTTGGGTAAGCTGTTTAACGTCTCTAAGCCTTAGCTTCCTCATATAAAAGAGAGACAGCAGCAAGAACGGCACTGCCTGGTACATGGAAGCCTCGCTGAACATTGCCTGCTGTTACCTGGTACACACTGACTGCTTATTAGCACACCACAGATCAGGGGCAGGGGCAGGGGCAGGGGCAGGCGGTTCACAAAAGCCCGCTGGCATTTGCAGTTAGGCCGCAGCTCTCGTCCCCAGTGCATACTAGAGTTCGGGTTGCCTTTGCGTGCCCACTTACTTGATGGCTGGAAGGTGGTGGACTCAGACTGACGCAGGCAGGGTAAGGACTGATTCTAGGCTAAAACTGGTCTTGCATTAATCTGAGTGACTGCATTCCAGAGCTTGTGTGAGGCATTGGGGGCAGGAGGAAAACCCTCAAGGAGTTTTTAGGCACAGGGGACACCTGGGATGTCCCTACTCCTGACCCCAAGGAAACCACGACACCATCTCCTAGCATTTTCCTGCTCAGCTCCAGACCGAAACAGCCCTGGGACAGTGTCCACTTTGGGGAACGGGTCCTCTCTGCTGTGTGTCCTTTTCTTGGACTATGGCTCTCCTAGTTCCACAGGGCTCCCAGCACGTGGGCTCATCTTACCAGAGATGGAGCAGTACTCTCCCATCTTAATGCAGGGAAAACCACCAGAGCATGTGTTCAGCTCTGAGGCCTTGCTCTTCTGGCTTAGGCTGCAGCCTGGGGCCTCCCTGTGCCTGGTGCACCTGGCTTGCTTAGGTTCTAGCACCTGCTCCCTGCCCCATAATGCCTATATGTGGCAGTCTCCTTGACTTGACCTTGAACCCAAGGACAGGTGCTCTAACTTCTCTATTCCAGAAAGGTGCGCTGTATACAATGACTATCCCCAGAGCACAGGGGCCTCCTCTGTCCAGGGTTTCAAGAACCTGTCTTGGGTGGCCTTGGCATTGCTGTCTCATCATAGCTCCCTTCTGACCCAGATCTTACTTCAGATCACACAGACAGCCAGGACGGGAGCACGTACGCCTTGGAGAGCATAGCCCAGGACATTTGGCCTCCAGGTCACCACAGACTAGACACACACTGGCTTGGTCTGGCACTACACCTACCACGCATGGTTCTGGTACCTCATGGGATGGGCACAGTAGCCCACATGGAAGGCACCTGAGGGGATGTACCAAGCACTCTGCAGGTCTGCTGGGAAAGCCTGTGGTCCACAGCAGAAGCTCCTTCCTGGCCGCAACCCTCCAGGATGACAGCAGCCCTCATCTTTCCCGTCAGGCATCCCTTTAGCCTAAGGAAGATGACATTTTCCATTGCTGCTGGTCCCTGAGGCTTTGCTGTCCCTGTGAGCTTCTCAGCCCCATTTACTGCTTCTTAAATCTCTGTTTGAACCACTGGGATGGATTCTGCCCTCTGCTGCAGCCTTGATTGACTCTGATGGGCATCCAAGTCCCTGGCTCAGGTATCTGAAAATCCTGGCTTCTAGATCTCCAATCTGAGCCATGCACACAGGTACAGGATCCCTGGTCTCCTGCTACCTTGTCCAAATTCCCCTGAAAGGAAGTTGCTGAGGTGGTTCAGGGACACAGCACAGCATGGACTGTGGCCAGGCCTGGCGGCCATCCTTCAAGACCAGGAAGACCCTGTGAAGTTGCCAGCGCAGCTCTCAGCCTGACCTTTCCACAAACCCGTGGAGACCAACCTCTTCCCAGGGACAAAAGCCTGTTCTGCACCCTTGGCAGGACTCCTGTCTCAAGGGGCTGCAAAGAGCTTCCTGGCCCACGGTTTCTGGGCAGAGCTGGGACGGGCCTTTTGCCTTTAGAATTCTGGGGCTCCCTCCTGCTCCTTGGGAAGCTGTCCTCACAGAGCCAAAAGGCTGCAGCTCTCAGCAGATGTTAAATGCCAGTGAACATGGACCACGACAACCTGTCCTAAACCATCTGTGCCCCAGTGCCAGGGGCAAGAGGATCCTGAGCTGGCCAAGAAGAGCCTCATATGCCCAGGAGCTGAGCCACTGAGCACAGGAAAGGGGGAACCAGCCCCGCTGACACTCAGGCTTGACTGAGTGATAACTGTCTTGACACAACCGTTGAAATACAGGCCTGAACCTTCTGGGGGGCCGGTCTGCCTGGCAGGGTTTTAATGTCCTCTCCCTAGGGTCTCTGATTCTTGTGCTCTGTGGGGAACAGATCCTTTGCCTCCCTCTCCTGCTGCTTTGCTCCCCGAGTTCTGTGAGCAGCTCTCAGTATACCTCATCAGCAGCATGTGGCCTGCACGGGTGGAGGAGCTGCCCGTCAGAAGGCGTTTGTCCTGGGGTAAGTTGAGTTCTTTGCATAATACAGTTATGCCTTTGGTTAGCACCTGGGTCTCTCTGAGAAAGGACACAGTGGAGCTGAGAGCGAGCTTCCTAGACAAACAGAAGCC